AGCAGCTAGTGACGCTTGTCGAGACGGCGGGGCGCGAGCTCCTCGCCCTCCAGAAGACCGTCGCCGACACCGACGGTATCCCACCCACCGCCACCCCAGCCACCGCCGGTGGCGGCGGGGTCCATTACACCAACGGCCTCTCCGGCTGCGGGTTCGGCCATGGTGCTACCGCTGCCGGTGCTACCGCTGCCGCCGCCGGCGTAACGGGATCTTTCGGGGCCTTCGGCGGCGGCAGCGGCGGCGATGAGACCGAGAGGCATCGGGACGTGTTCCGTCTTTGCGCCGCGCTGGAGGTCACGTCCGTTCTTCTGTGCACCCTGTCCATGGCGCTAAGTCAGGTACGTGTGCCTTGCGTGTGTTTTTGTTGCTCGTCGGCGTCTCGGAGATTCACCGGTTTTGTTGTATCATGGGAGGTTCGCGTGCTACTGCGGAGCGTGTTTCCCGTTTCCGTTCGAGTGTGCCGGCTGAAGAAAATCGTGGCGGGGAACTCCATCCGTAGCGGGGGCCGAAACAAACTGCCGAGCTGTCTGTTCTCGACGATAAGTGTTAGATCGAGGTTTTCGTTGTGTTGTTTTCGTTGCCAGCGTGGGCGCACCGACCGTTGCTGGGGTCAGCGGGGTGAGGTAGAGAGTGCGGACCTTGCTTTTTTTGTATCGAACTCGAACTGCAGGCCATCCTTAGTCTTTTTTCAAAGTGAATCGCCATAGCAGGAATCTCGTGTTTTGCCGAATGTTTCTCCCTCCCCCCCTTGGCGTGCTTCATCCGTTGAAAGTCCTAGAAGCGTTTTTGGTATGAAGGGTTTTCGACATACCACCTGGTAGAGGATCAGCGAGGACTGCAGGGAACGCCTTCTACCGGTGTTCGATCCTCAGTAGTCTCAACCTCTCCCGTCTCTCTCTCTCTCTCTCTCTCTCTCTCTTTCTCTCTCTCTCTCTCCCTCTCCCTCTCTCTCTTGTGTCTCGCTCTGTCTGTCTATCTGCCTGTCTCTTTGTCTTATCTTTCTGTCTGTCTCTCTCCGCCATCCCGTCTTGCCATCAGAACAACGCGCTGTACAGCCGGAGTTTGCCAGGCGCAAAGAACAACGGCAGGAACGCTCTCAACGCGCTCGCGCTTGTCGTGGGCGGCGGAGGCGGTCAGCCCTTGGGTGATGGGGACAAGGAAGTAATCCTGCATCTCAACAAGGAGATCTGCTCTCGCGAGTGGGACCACTCACAGGTGCTTGAGAGAATGATACCCCGTGCGTTTTGCGTTAGATAGTGGTCAGACACCAAGGTATGCTTCTTCGATGTTTGTTCTGGCTTTTTGCGACTGCCGCTCCCGTACCCGTTGGTGGTCGGTTGTGTGTATGGTGTGTATGTTGGTGGTCTTGACCTGAAAAGAACTCTGGCCCTTTTGAGGTAGGTTCCTTATGTCCCGTACTTGTTCGCAGGGCAAATAAGTGGGCTCCCAAAGTCACGCACAACGTAACCGGACGGCAAGGTACAAGAGGAAACGAAACAGAGAGTACAGGGTTAAAGTCCCAACGCTCGGGAAGAAACTGGAACGATATCCGGGGTGTTTCCCTCGGGGTCTTCGTGTCCATCACATGTCGCTCCTTCGGGTGGTATAATTACCCAGTTACCACCGTGTGAATCGACCCTATCCCTGTTGTAACGATCCCCTCGTATTCTACACAGCCTTCGTAACATTCCAACAACAACGTAACAAGAAGGCCAACAACCAAGCACCGAAACCCAACCTCGGACTCGTGTGGCCACCACCAGCACCAGCATGGACCCGGCCTAAAATCATACACGCCCCCGTGCGCTCACGTACGTACAGGTGCAAGGAGCGGTTATGATGGTGTGGGCCTCCTTCATCGCTCCCTTCGCCTCGGGTGGGCAGACCGTCGCCGACACCGACGCCGACAAGCAGCTCCAGCAGGTCATGGCTGCCGCCGCCGTGAACGGGGCGGTGAAGTTCTTGAGGGGGCCGGTGCTGACCGTTCTTCGTCGACCCCCGTTTGCCGCGCGGAGCGTGGTGAGATTTGGAGGGGGGGGGGGGGGGGGGGGGG